GTGCCGGACCCTCCGACGGTCTGGCGTCGTCGAGGCGCCGGACCCTCCGATGGTCTGGCGTCGTCGAGGCGCCGGACCCTCCGATGGTCTGGCGTCGTCGAGGCGCCGGACCCTTCGATGGTCTGGCGTCGTCGAGGCGCCGGACCCTCCAATGGTCTGGCGCCTCGACGACGCCGGACCATAGTGGGTGCAGGTGCTGTTGATGTTGTTGGTGGTCCAACTGCTGCCGATGCTGCTGCTGTTCCATACCGCTATGCTGTAGCTGGTGCAGCTACTGCTGCTGCTGTTCGATGTCGCTATATTGCCGGTGGTGCTGCTGCTGCTGTACGATACCGCTATGGGGTTGCTGCTGTTCGAAATCGCGCCGGGTCATCCAATGGTATGGCATCGTCGAGGCGCCGGACCCTCCTGTGGTCTGGCGCCTCGACGACGCTGGACCGTATGGGGTGCAGTTGCTGCGGATGTTGATGCTGGTGGAACTACTGCTGATGCTGCTGGGAGCCGTTGTCGACACTGTGTTGTTCGAACGCTAGAGGGCTTGTTGTCCGGATGCACAGAGGATTCGTCTATCCGGCTTGTTGCCCGGATGCACAAAGGATGCACAGAGGGTTCGTCTATCCGTGTTGATAGATGGCTTGTTGTCCGGATGCACAAAGGATACACGGTGCTGCATCCCTATGATGGTCCGGCGTCGTCGGGGCGCCAGACCATCAGGGCCCCCGGCGTCACCAGACCCTCCTTCCTTCTCCTTCCTTTCCTTCCTCTTCTTCTTGCTCTCCGGGTGCTGTGACAGAGATTACAGGCAGAGGTTATGCAGGGTTTGCCGCCTCGTGGTCAACGTTGTAGAGGGAGAGAGCTTATAGGCAGAGGTTGGAGAGTGTGAGAAATAACAGGCAGGGGTTGTGTCGGGATTGCACGTGGATGTTACATAAACATTACAGGCAGACGTTACATCGAGATTACGGACAACGGTTGAACAGGGCCTGCCGCCACGTCGTCGGCGTTACACAATGCGACAGATTGCAGGTAGACATTGCACAAGCCCTCCGAAAGTTCGGCGTCGTCAATCCACCGGACCATCGGAGGGCCCGGCGTCACCAGACCCTCCTTCCCCTTCCTCCTTCCTTTCCTTCATCTTCCTCTTCTTCTCCGGATGCTGTGAGGGATGTTACAGGCAAAGGTTACGCAGACATTACAGGCGTGTTGGTGTTGGCTGCGGTGTTGATGTTGGCTGCGGTGTTGATGTTATGCAACTGCTTGCTCGTTAGGGGTCTCCACGTCGAAGGTTGTCGAAAGGGCGGTCACGTTCCAAGAGAAGTATTGGGCAATCGATTGGCACCTCGGTATGAAGGTCCCCTGTTGCGGGCCATGCATTTTCTTGCGGGATGAGAGTGGCAGTTACTACCCGTGCGGGGGTATCAAGACGTACTCGTTTGATAAGAACATGCCTGACGAGGAGTACATGAGATTCCATTTGACGACGTGTTTCGACAGCGATGGTCACGAGGTGCCTGACAACTACAAGCTCGTGTCTCTCCAAGTCGACAAGTTCCAAGGTTACGGCATCCGGGCTGCATCAATGCCGCCGTTCGACAAGTCGAAGAAGAAGGATGCCTCACAGATGGTGATGCTAAGGCCGTTCGAGTTCCTCAAACGCATTAATTGCTATAAGGTGTCCGGCCATATCGTGGCGATTGACAACAAGCTGCAGTTGTCAACTCCCTTCGTGTCGTTCGACTGTGATCTTGGAGACTTTGCAGACATGGTGCGACGACACAAGCTGCAGGCGATGTGCCAAGCCGTTTGCGAACTACCGTGTCTGTGAGCTCGCCACACGCGGTAGGCAAGAGTTGTGGGGAGCCGAAAACATCCGCCCGTATGAGCAAAAGTGGGGCCGCATCGACACAAGCAAAGAGTGTGAACAAATCAGCTTCTCTGCTCCAGCCGAAGGGTGTGTGCGACGCGGGCACCATCACATGCAAACTATGCGGCACGCGTTTCTTTGACTCCGGCTGGTGGGGCCGCTGACCATGAGGATGACGACGAAAGCACAGAGGAGGACTCGCGCTTCAGACATTGGGACGGTGGGCGGTGGGCCGATGGCAATGACGCGAAAGACGCGGAAGGGGACGACGACGAACAGCAGTTCAGCGACGGTGCACACGATGAAGAGGGAAGCTTGGAGGATGACTTGGCCGAAGGCGACGGTAGTGAAGGCCAAGAGGATGGTGGTCACGAAGGTGATGGGAATGAAGAAGAAGAAAATGAGGATGCAAGTGACCAGGAGGCCGCAGAATGAGAGGACAACTACGAAGGGGGGAGCGAAGGAGATAAGGGTGGGGCGGACGACGACGACAACGGGAATAGAGGGTCGCAGAAAAGGCGGGAACAGTCTTTCCGTCGCACTAGTCATGATGGTCCGGCAGAAGATGACGATGTGTTGCATGACACACAGAGGTCTGTATGCATACGCAAGAGGAAAATGAGATGTGGGAAAGCTGAGGAAGAGAAGCGGAGACAAGCTAAGCTCATCGGCCTACAGGCCTCAAAGGAGGCTTACAAGAGATCCTTAGAGGCGCAATCCGCTAAACCAGCAAAGGAAAAGCGTGAACGGACTCGATCTTCCTAGAGGCCGAAGAAGAAAGCAAAAGCCGAGGAGACAAAGGAAGTGGCAGACTCTGGGGACGAAGCAGCGGGGGTCGACCCGAGACATACAGCGTCAAAGCCTGGAGAGTTGACCAACGACACTATCGACACCACGAAATGTTTTTTCCTGGAATACGACGAGGACGGGAATGCGATAGATCGGCCTACCCAAGTTTTCGTTGACCTGGTCAAAATACTGCCCAACCCTTCGGAAGGCGTGCAATACAACCACAGGTCGTTGAACGAGATGTTGGTCACCTCCATCAGGGACGCAATGGAACACCCCAAAAAGCAGGAGTGGGAAAGAAACACCTGGATTCTTGCTCCTGTTGTTGAAGTGGAGAAGGATGGCCAGAAGCGGTGGGAACGTGTGAAGCCGGAGGACTGGGATGATGACAAGGTTGCCTCCTACCATTGGTACACAGTGGCCGGCCAACATACAGCGGAGGCAGCAAAGAGGCTGGTCGCTGCAAAATCGTCTGCTGCCCACAAGTGGGGCGTGCATTCTTGGAAGGCGCGGGTTGTGTATTTTGACGACGACCATTTGGAGGGGTATGCGTACATCTCCACGTTTGACAACACCAGGGAGACACGTGCTATCCCGTCGTCGTTTCGAATGGTTGTGACTGCTATAAGAGGAATGTGGCAGAGTATGAAAGAGCCAAAAGGTGATTGGCATCAGGCAAAGACGGTGGAAGAGAGGACTGCACAGCGTGACCAATATCAGGAGTTCATACGGAAGGCTATACGGATGACTCCTGACACCTCGCTCTGGAACCAGTCGTTGGCGAAAAGATTTGTGAGGAATTGGTCAAACCTTTTGAGGCGCTACATGTGTCTTGCGGCGAGCGGCAGGGTTATGTGGAATCTGGTTGAGAAGTTCTTTGACAAATGGGAAAAAGGCGAACTGCCAGGGCAGGACGGCGTGAGACCAGTGGATTAGGAAGGGAAAGCAGGTGAGGCGGCAGGACCGAGCCCTGCAATGAAAACGGTGAAAGGCAAAAAAGTGTTGGTGCACTACGTCGAGTCCAACAAAAGCTCACCGGGTTTCTATGTTTGCATCAATGATCCCCCAGCAAGCGCATGGAAGGTGTTCGGCGATTTCACATCAAGGGAGAAGGAGATGACCCTGGAGAAAATACTTGCGGGACACGTTGTCGTCACGAGCGGAAGGGCATTTGTGAAAAAACTGATGAACATGCAAGACATGTACGTGGAGGTGAGAAGGGAGAGATATATGGTTCGCATGTTTAACTATGTCCTCTTCAAGATAGAGCAGAGGTCGGAGGGGGAGTGGAATGACAAGTTCTTCATTGGTTACGATACCATAATGAGGCGGTTTGCACCACGAGGGTTGACGACAGAGAAATGGGAAGAAACCAAGTCCAAGATCGTAGCAGAGAAGACTATCGATGTCCCGAAACGATTGGGCGGCGTGGATGAGGCAAAACTAGGAAAAGGAAATGTCGGGGGGTACAAGGTGATGACTGCAATATATATGGAGTGTCCGTACTTCCTCAAGCTTTTCGTGCATGAGATTCTTGGTGCAATTGAGCAATTGAGGGACGAGCTGAGACGGATCATCTCAAATGCTCAACACATAATGTGGGACAAGCGCAAAGATCATACGACGTATCTTCTTGTCTGCATCACACCTATGGATGCACTGCACCCGGCAGAAGATTTGACTCGTGCCGTGAGAAATTGGCTCCGTTGAAGAATCTCGACGCATGGAGCGAGCAAAGGTTTCACGAGCTCCGCCAAATGATGACGGTGTTATGCGGGTCGCATTGGGCGCTAATCATATTCAACGCATTGAAAGTCAAGGAAACGGTGTTGAGGAACGTCTTCAGGTGGGACGGTGTGATAATTCTTCCAGGGCGCTGGCGTCGTTATAGCGAAGCAGCATCATCCTGCGCCCAAGTTGGGAACCTTCCGTTGAGAGGGCGTGACTCCATGACCATTGTGCTGCACGATACAGACAACGACTTGAAAAAGGTCACGGTTGCAAAGCCTCGTGGGAACACTCTCTTCGACACGCATTACGTGGAGGAGTTATTTGTACGATGTACAAAAGAGGCAATCAGCGTGCGAGGCGATAACAAACCTGTGTACGGGATATGGGAGAGGGAACCTGCAAAAATGAAAGACTTGTGCACCTGGTTTTCGAAGGAAGGGGAAGGTGTTCTAATACTGGGCAACGTTCAGGCAGGAACGACGTGGGACTTGCTGCGCTCAGGACGCCATGTCGTCGCATGTGATGGTTCCTCAAACCTGATGGAGTACTCCACTTTGTTTATCGATCGCCACGTTCACAATCCGGATAAAAAGTGTCACTTTGAACCGCCGAAACCTCAACATCGTGCAGACCGAGACATGTTCCTAAAGCTCGGTAAGAAGAGGGACTCTCTGTGGAGCTATCTTTTCTGCAATGCACCCGCAACACCAACAGATGCAGATTATCTCCACCGTAAGGTGATAGCGATCCAGCATCTACAAGGATATCACAACGCCAAACGCGGTGCAATTGAGATATTTCTGGGCCAATGTGAACACCTGTGGTTTGAAAGGAAGCGAGACAAAATTGATGCTAAGGTTTACTGCGAGGTAATGGACGTTGGGGAGCAGTTTGACATTATGGACAATGAGGAGGAGACAAAGGATGAGGAGATTGACCTGCCATTGCCGGATGCACATCAAAATGCAGTGAGAGACGAAACGCCTCCGCTGTCCGCTATGGGTGGTGAACAAGCGATGAAGGAAGATGTTGGCGGCACTATCGCGAGTACCAAGCCCGATAATGTGATGCATGGAACAATGCCGAAAACAGGTGGTGCAATGGAAGGCAGCACATCCAAGTGCGGCATGAAGAAAGCTACCCCAGGATTCGTTTCGTTGGTGAGGAGAGTTTGCAATGACATAGAAGGAGCGGCGGACGACGAGACTCAAAATGTTGCACGTGCAGACAAGGAATCAGTGGACGACCAAGATGGGATGGACATAGCGGATGATACCCTCTTTCACATCCCGGACGACGTTCCCAAACAACTTGCACCGGGTGATAATATATCATATGACATGAAGGAGATGAAAGGAGGACCTCACTTTCTAGAAACAAAGTACAAAGAGTCATATGAACACGACTGGGGGCATCACATTATATGGCATCCAGGTCTTTTCGAGCCTTGTGTGATTGATGGCAGATGGCACATGGCTATCCGAATGGGTGGGAAATGGATGTTCAGGGAAAGAGTCCTCAGAAGCAGGTTTTATGAAATCGCAAAGGACAACTTGTCTACCCGCGTGAAGCAAGCGAACAGAGAGGCGCCAGACCACAAAATATCAAACAAAGTGAACTCGTTATTCGAATTCCTGCGTGAAAATCACCTTCTCGAGTATTGCGCTGCGTTCTACGACAAGAAATCGAGTCCATCGTATGGAGCTGTCATATGGTCTGTGGACTACCGTGCAACGGACTGTACGTACGACAGCGACATACTTGTGGGATGCAGTCAAGGCCTTGAGGAACACACAGGTGCAAGGAAGAAGATCGATTCAGCAGCAACAGGAGTTGGTGGCGAGAGTGTGGCAGACAAGGAAGGACATCTCAGGATGCAAAACGCAATGGGAGATGAGTTCAGTGAGCGGCCATCGAGCACACCGCAACCAACACTTAGACCGTCAGAAGGCATCAGTGCAGTGGGAGCCATAAGTGAGACAACACCAACAGCAGGCGGGGAAGTTGTTGGTGATGACGGGAAGGACGAAAAGATTGAAGAGGACCAACGACAAAAAGCATTAGACGAAGAAGGGCCAAAATTTCAGGCACATGAGGTAGTGAAGGCGGTGTCAGGGCATGTCGATTCACATTCCAAGCAGTCGCAAGGAACACACGATACGACTGTCATCTCTGCACAGGCGCAAGGCACCGACGAAGACACAAGGGAGCAAAGTGCACATAAGAAAGATGGGGGGGAAGGACCAGTGCTTATGGAATGCACTGGTCCAGGAACGCAAATAGTTTCGGAGTCAACCATGGGAGAAAGGAGAGCTGACGTGGAGGGTGTCAGTGGGGCAGAGCATGAAAAGGTTCCAAGCACGACAAACAGGGAGAGAGAGGAGGAAAATGAGAATGAAGAGGAGGCGAACAAGAGTTAAGAGTGTGATCAACTTGGTGCACCACTCAGGTGAGAACGAAGAAACATCTGACAAGGAAGAAGCGAAAGAGTCGGAAGAGGAGTCTCAAGAAAGAGAGTGTGATTTGAGCGAAGCGAGTGAGGGAATATGCGGTAGAAAAAGAAAAGCAGGCAAAGAAATAAAGGAATGCAAAATGCGACGTTTAAAAAAAGCCAGGGAGAAGAAAGCACAGTACGGCGTATAGTGCTTGTGTGTATGTGGATGTCAGCCTGCATTCACACTTGCCAAGGATGTGTGTGTGTGTATGTGTGACTGTGTGTGTTACATCACCAGCGAGGATGAGATTTTAGAGTATGAAACGATGAGTGAGAGGCGTAATTTATATGTCGATTGTGCTGGTTGAACACAATACATATTACATTTCGAGTACGCTTCGAGTTGTTGACATAGAAATGGAAGCGTGGATTGCATAAATTATATATAGATTGTGTCGATCGAGAAAAAAACAATAGTTTGTGTTTCAGATTATGCTATTTCTGTATGGAGAGCGCGAGACGGGTTTAAGAATTTCGATTTGTTATTGTCTTCAGTGTATATATTGATGGAATTATATAAGAAGTTGGCAGATATGTGGCTCTCTCTCTCTCTCTCTTTCTCTCTCTCTCTCCCCTGACACACACACACACACACACACACACACGAACACGAACACGTAATTGATAATGCAATGACTTCACATTTTAACAACAAGCAATCCCATTGTGGTGTGAACCAGGGACATTGTTACACGTCCAAGGCGAAAGCCGATGTAAATACGGGTAGACTATTCAATTAGCAACAAATGCTATCACCGAGTCGGAAGAAGATGCATTGCGGCAATGGGAAAATAAGTTCAACAATTACAAAACACTGTCAAGCACCAAGAATCCAGCGACGTGAGAGGAGTTAAGATTCACGGTCCACGATATAAGTATCCTAATGAGTGACACACGATGGTTAAACGATGACATTATAAACTTCTACAGCAATATGATAAAGGTTGACAACATGTGTAGGAATTCCCATCGACAGTGTGATACGCAATCTAACATGTCCGCGAAGTACGCAAAGGGTTTGATTCTGCGAACAATTGTATGTAACTTTTTCTTTTTGGTCAAGCTCATGGATGACAACTTCGGATATCACTATGACAAAGTAGCTAAATGGTTCAAAGACGTATTGATCGCAGATACAGACTTGATTTTAGCCCCATACCATAACATTCATGAAAAGCATTGGACACTCGTTGCAGTAGACCTTCGACGAAAAGTTATAGAGTACTACGATTCGATGGAACCAAACTCTGACGTTGCAAAAAAGGTAGTCAATAACTTCACGAGGTACGTGTACGACCGATCAACAGAACAAGGAAAGCAAGTCAACACTAGACGTTTCAAGAAGGTATTAGAGGTGGTTGGTATCCCGAAACAGAAAGACATTCATCAGTGTGGAATATTTGTGCTAGCATACACATCTCTTTTGGCAAGAGGTCGTTTGCCACCATTCGAATTTGATATGCACGATATCCAACGCATTAGACGACGGATCGCACTAGACTCAGTAACAACTAGAGAGGATGCGTAACATGTGACAGATTGCAGAGGAGATTGAAGCGGTTGAAAGGTGACAGTCATTGAATTGTTCGSTTGCAAGTCACTTAKGGCAGYTTGCAAATGTAMAATGTTATGYACAATATGAAWTRCTCTAACCGACAGATCGCAAATACAGCGACRCAAACATGAAACTTCWACGTAGTCAGACAACATGTAGAGGTYAATGTGAGGTCTGCATATGTATGGTCTATGTGAGRTCWRGATATGTATRGTCTATGTGRAGAGCAGAATGTATCATATACCATAAGCATATGTATGGTGTAYGCGGTATGATGTGCATATGTATGGTGTATGCGGTATGATGTGCATATGTATGGTGTATGCAGCATGATGTACCCCTAATGGTGTATGGTACATGAAAGTTCACCTACCATGTATGGTCCATGTGGTACCATACGACTACAACCTACCATGGTCTACATATAAAGCCAGAAGTCACGATTTTGGAGGAAAATTCTCTACATTTCTCACTTGATTCAATTTCATGATTTAAAAAAAAAAATGTCAGTTTTAACGAAATGTCAGTTCCATCAACGTTGTTTGCATGAAGCATCTGAAACCTCTCAGGTTGTATATAACCACTTAATATCACATGTGTGCGGGATAGATGACGTTTCGAATTGCTAACGGTTTGCATTTCCCACCTTCCTCCTTGTTTCAGACTCAACAAACTAGACCTGTCAAGTCCTACTCCACCTTGTGCTGGTTTGTGGCAAAGATCCATTTTGCTGAATATCGTCGCAAGTTCGTCCTCCAATGCAACAAGTTCAGGGTTCACATTTTCCTGCAGAGCTTCGAACATTCTTTCAAATGTTTTCTGCATAGCAAAAAGTACAGTGAATGTGGCATTGACGGTTGGAATAGTATTTACAATCATGTGCATACCGAAAGAGGGAAAAACAGGGAAACTTAAATAAGAGAGAGATGAGAAAAAAAAGAGTAACAAAGAGATCGAGCATAACGGTAAGCATATAATGACAATATCGAGCATAACCTTAGGTCCCCTGTGCTTCTCCTCCTGCCAATCTTAGTTACCCGCTCTCGCCTATCATCCTTCTCCCAGTTGGGGTCCATCTCCTGATCGATACCGCTCATCATCTTCGCCACCCCTCCTACTGCTCCTCGCTGACACCATTAGAGCAGTAGCGCTCGGTCCTCTTCGCCCAAGATGACAGAGTAGCTCACAATTTATTTTTTTTAATTATGGAAAAATTCATGTGATGTTAAAAAAAAAACTACAAAAACAAAGAGCCACATCGTCGTGATCCCTCGTCCCCCTGTTCCCTCGTTGTCATCATCCCTCCTCCCGCTACTTCCATAGTGTCGTCATCCTTCCTCCCCCTCCTCATTTGAACCTTCATTGTCCCTTGTCAATGTTCCTCTTTACACCAATATACTAACCTGGTCCCCAGGCGGCCCGGCTGGAGGAAAGTCGCCTGGGTACCCTCCCCGGCAGCCCGGGCCGGGCAGGGTCCGGGCAGGGTCCCAGGCAGCCCCAGCGCACAATATTAAAAAAAAATAAAAATTCAAAAATTCAAAAAGATCTGAAAAAAAAAAATGTTGTGTAAAATTGCAGCACAAGCAACTTTTGGTTGAGAGTCCCCTCAAAATTCCTTATTAATTTTAAGATAAAAATAAATGAGGAGACATGAGGTAAGATATACCCTTTTAAACCCCTCTAGTCACTGTTTAGATTAACTTTAAACCCCCCAAACACCCCTGGGTGGCCCACCACCGAAATGGAAGGTAAGGCCGAATTCTGACTGCTCATGTCGAGCGCAGTCCTGTCCTGAAGTCAGTTTCTTTTTTGGGGGGATCCTTCCCTCTTTTTTGGCCTGCCTGGTTTTGTCGGGCGATCCCCACCGGCCCAGCTGGCCAGGGCAAGCCTGGCCGGGCGACGGCCCAACCTAGCCGATATACACTAGAGTAGTGACAGGTTCGTGAAAAAGCAAAAGAACTAGGAAACAGATGATATAGAGATAATAATACAGACTGGTCTCCCTTTGGAAGTACAAGAATTTCCAAAAACAAAAAAAAGAGTGAAGCAAGATGAAAATTATCATTGTGGTTGAATAGTGAACTGGTTACCGAGAGAAGTTAGTGTGGACTTTTCCTTAAAGACTTTGCGTAGCTGGAAAGAAGTTAGTATGGACCTTTCCTTAAAGACTTTGCGTAGCTGGAAACCTCCACACAATTTTCGGACTGAATCAAGGGAAAATGTAAGTTGTAATACGTTGTCAGAGAAATAAAGAGCATAATCGCTTACCCCGGTCAAGTTGAAGTCGAGTTTCTTCTCGCTCAGTGGATTTCCATCCTTGTCCACCATTGTTGCAGTGTTCTGTGGAGTTGTCTTCGCAGAAACAATCTCCTGAATACGAGATTCAACGCTATTCAGTGCAGCTAGTATTCTCTGATGCGCTGGCGACTTGTTTGTTCCACTGCAGGCGAGAACAACTGACCAGAAAATAGGTTTTTCAAACCATGTATTGTCGGATAGAAGCGTGTACGTTCGACATCCCATCATTAGCCCAGCTACCGAGATGATGGGGCCAGCAACCATCCATGGGCAACATCCAGCTTCTGCTGCAATTCTGCTCACCAACTCTGAAAACCTTAGTGGCAATACGCTATGGATAGGCTCAAGAACAGCCAGTGCTCTTGTGACGACTTTCACCATTTCCACACCATCATCATCCTCTGTAGCCATGTTACGTCTCGAACTTGCCATTTTCTCTGTGAGGTTAGCTAGTACCGATAGAAAAGATAAGTGTACTGCAATACACACAGCGATGCACCTGCTGAAATGCTAAAGTTTGTCAACGATATGTTTGATTGACGACAATAATGTGCACGTACTTATACTCAATACGCAAGGAGAACAATATTAAGAGTTCTTAGTCTTTCTCACCAAAAAGAACTACAAGGAATGGAGAGGATGGAATGACAAAATGAAAGGAAAAAAGAATGATATTTTTTTGGACGATAACGATGTTACCATGCGTTGCACCCACATAAATAGTACAACATTGAGCCTGCATAATACAGCATTGAGCCTGCAGCAATAGCATTAAAAGAAAAAAGAAGTGCAGCCGCATCAAATTTTGAGTTCAAAAGGGCAAAAAAAAACACACAAAATGACAGTTTGGACAAGCGCTGTGCTTCTTCACTGTTTTGAGGTGCTCTCTTTTTCTTCGTCTCCCAACCCAACAATAAGCACCATGAGAGAGGAGGAATGGAGAACGACCAAGGAGAGGAAAAGAGCCTCTCCTCTTGTTTGTCTCCCAACCAAGCAGTACGCACCATGACAGAGGAGGATCGGAGGATGACAAAGGAGAGGGAAAGAGTGTAAAGGAAGAGGAAACATAGTCAGTGCAAAAGTCACATCAAACTTGGATTGAGCATAGAGAGGAGAGGAGTATACACAGCGGGAATGTTCATAAGGTACATAATCACAGTCAGAAGTCCTTTCATGCATGATCCATCACCAAGAAATTTTGGAGAGCAGAAGGTGACAAATCGACAAATGGAAAAGGGAGAGAGAACAACAAAGCAAGAAAGTCATTCACCTTGATCCAGTGCACGATGTTGAGCTGGAAGACGCTCACGTCAGAGGAATACGCTGATGCGTGCTCGCTGGCTGGCACTTCAATGCCCATGGACACGCCGATGGTGCACTACTCGTTGGATTGGGAACAATCAAGGTTTGCAGATGCACTGTTCAGAGGAAAAACATCTGCGAGCACGACCAACTTCTGCAACTCCACGAACAAGGCAAAAAATAATAATAATAAATAAAAAACATGGAAAAACACAGAAAAATCACAGAAACTCGTTACGGAAATAAGGATTTTAAAAATCACCAAAATTTGGGGGAAAACAATTCTACGAACATAAACAAACAAGGTGAAATACACCCCGGCAACAACAGCACAGGCCAAACAAACGACCCGTGAGCAATCACTAACATTACTATCCTAGAGCTTTCCTGGGATGTGTGATACCAACTGACGATGCGTGACGCGAATAGGACAGCAAATAAGGTGGAAAAGAGAGAATAGCCTTGAAAATCTATGGATGGATGTAGGATAGGGGATAAGTCGCCCTCTTGGTCAAAGGGCAGAGTAGAAAGAGAGAGAGGGAGCTGATTCTTTCTCTGAAAAGGGTCAGGGAAGATTCTCCCCCCGCAAAAAAGAAGACATCACGTGACACCAGGAACACTAGGACCTGAAGCAGATATATGAGAGCAGCACTGGCAGCAGACACTCTTCGAGTCTGCACATGCTGAGTTAAGGTGTCTCAGAAACACCTTCACTCAGGAACATCTCCATCCATACTGAAGCCTGACTCAAGGAAAACGGGAACGATTCAATGTGAATATCTTGTTCCTATGGCAAACTTGTGTTCACCTCTTGATAAAATCAGCCACCTCTCCACTCTTAATCGGACTGTCACCATCCAATCCATACATACAAGAACCGCATAACATACCAATCCAAGCCAGCCAAAGGAACACTGTTATCCATCCATGCATGCATGCGTGTGTACATCATCATATAATTACCAAAAGAAGACGAACCCATTCTGTAAAAATAATAAAGCAAATTGGTGTCATGCCATTGTCAACAACCTACAAGCTACCAACACGGACAAATAAAGTACAACGCTCCCGCATCTGACTGGTTGGGCAGGAGGTGCCTACACATTCAGCCGCTTTGCAAACAGTGGTTGGTTCTAAAAGAAAAGTTGCTCTAGCACTGGTTGGTTATAAAAGAAAAGTTGCACTGGCAGGCGACAACACAGATTCACAGGGTGCCAAAGGCTGTAGAAGCCCTCATGCGGCACGAGAAGCACTGTGTTCCAAGTGCGCAACCTCTCCTCTATGGGAAATTGGTATCATGTCATTCTCAATATTCTACAAATTACCAACTCCCTATCATGTCATTCTCAATATTCTACAAGTTACCAACTCCAAAAAACCAAGTGCCCGCCGCTTAGTGCACACTCTTTGCACTCTGAAAGAAAACTTGTATTGGCAGGTGAAAACACAGATCCACAGCTTGCCTAAGGCTGCAGGAGCCCTCACGCAATACCAGAAGCGGAACATGGCCAGATGTGCGATGGCGCGACGGAGGTAGTCATCAGAAGAACCCTGTTGATGACTTTGGCAGCCTTGTAATTGCCCCCCCCCCCCCC